GAAATCTAGCACCTGGGGCAATGAGCTATGTGCCTTGAGGGCAAGACCCACCCATCAGAGACTCCAACTTGTAAAGATACAACTTTACATGAAAGAGAAAATATGGACTGAGACTGCAGCTGAGTTCCCTGCTCCTCAAAAGCAACTGTCTTGAACAGTGTCTCCTCAGGGTCAACACATAATGAGTTTCTGTCATTCATGGGCCAGGCTCTATCTGAATAGAGCAGAAGAACTTGAAAGTATCATCTGCGTGGTACTGGTTTTGGAGATATGAAAGATGCAAGCTTGTGGGCGGTCATGAATTGACGCACAGATTGAGAGAGAAGCTGAGTCCAGGCAGTGTGTAGCAGGGTCAGAATCTTTATAAAGAATTTTTAAGAGGTCATTAAATATTGCACTGTGGCACTGTGAAGGTGAATTAGGGTTGCAATAGAGACTTCAGTATGTTGGAGATGCCAGGACTATGGAATGTCCAACAAGGAAAGCTATAGGCATGGAGCAGAGCCAACTCAAGAGAGGGCTATGTATGCTGCAGAGCTCAACGTCTGGGGCTACCTAAGACCTTTGGAGCCTAGCCAGTTTTAGCATGGGCTCCAGATGTCAGACACGGATCTACAGGATGTGGTATTTTCCTTGTTGAATTTTGGTCTTTCTTTGATTCAATTATTCCTTGCTATGCCCTGATTCTTCCCTTTGGGATTGGGAATGTTTATTCTGTACCATTATATACTGGAAGTATAAAACTTACTTTTGATCTTATTGGAGGCCACAGCTAAAAGATTTTGGAAATTAAAGTACTGTAGTTATTAAAGTCTAGGGAGTCTTTCAAAGTGGAACTGGATGCATTTTATAACATGGTCATGAGCCGATGAGAATAAAAGGTGAAAGGTTATGACTTAAAAGTAATGTGTTTAGGTATCAAGTTGACAAAGGTTGGAGTTGTGATGATTAGTGTTATGAACCTGACATAATCTATGATCACCTGGGAGATGGGCCTCTGGACATGTTTGTAGGGGAGTATCTCAATTAATTAATAAAGACGGGAAGACCCACCCACTGTGGGTTATACCATTCGCTGGCTGAGATTCTGGACTGTGTAAGTGGAGAAAGGGATGTGGACAGTAGTGTACATTCGTGTCCCTCTGTTTCCTGATTATGGGTGCATTGTGACCATTGCTTCAAGTTCCTGCCACCTTGACTTCCCCACTATGATCAACTGTGTCCTTGGACGGTGAGCCAACATAAGCCATTCTCCCTTAAGTTGCTTTTGTCAGAATATCTTATCACAGCAACAGGAAAAGAAATTAAAGCTTCAGGGTTATTATGAACTGGCTAGCTCAACATTTCCAAAACTGAAAAACAAGATTTCCATTACTTTTATTATCTTATTTCTAACTGTAGATGCTAAATATAATAATATTGCCTTTGGGGTGTACAAGAATATTTGAGCTACTAAAGTTATGAATTATAAGCCACAGATGAAAAACTCAGCAAGTATCGTTTCATGTGGGTGAAGACAACTCTTATCAAGGGTAATGACTTTATGGAGACAAACCTCCAATTAGCCTTTAAGTCATAAATTTATTTTTTTGCTTTTATGTGTACATCTTTCAGTCTTTCACTGTCTTCTCATCTCATTTTATTATTCATTTTCAATTAACTGTTTTGCTCAGAAAATCCTCATGTGGATTTAAAAATAAATATTCTTTAGCTTTCATCACTTAAAAGCTGAGTGAAAATGTCTTTTGCTTTGAAGAAGAAATTATCTAAGATTTATTATAACTGCTTTTGAAAAATGTGTTGACTATGTCAGAGGTTAGCTTGGTATGAGAATATTGCATTAGGAGAAGAGCTCAGAACATAACAATATCTGAAATGAAGAGATACTACATACTAAGAACTAGTGGCTGGGGTGAAATTATGCATGGTGTTACAATTAATTGAATCTTATCAATTTATTCAAATTTGATAGACCTGGTAGGAGGTGGTATTATATCCCTGATTTTCACTTTTAATATTCTCCTAATCTCCTTTAGAATTTCTGTTACTTTGGTAGGGCTATCATAACAAAGTCTTCAGATTCACAGGTCTGCAGGATGGAAGCCCATGATTAAGGTGTGAGCAGTCTATTTCTCTGGAGGCTTCTTTACCCAACTTCCCTCTAGTTTCCTTCTGCCTGTGTCTTTGTGTGACATTTCCTCTGTACACACACTCCAAGTCTTTCTTCTCATGAGAACATCACTCATATTCTAATGAGATCCACATTTATGACCTTGTTTTACCTTGATGAAGATTCTATATTTAAATACTGTCACATTGGGGGTTAGAGTTTTAGCACATGAATTTGGAAAGACATACTTCAGCCAGTAACATACCATGTATTCATTCACTAAGTATTTATATACCTAATATAGGACAAGGGCTATTATTCTGCCAATAACTATTATAAAGAAGAGAATAAAGTATATAAAACATATTAAATTATTATTTTTTAAAGGAATTATCAGTATGGAATGATATAAGTCAGTTTAGTAAAACACCAATAAAAGATATTTCTGAAGATGTATCCTTTAGCAGAATCCTTTAAAAAATGGAAAAATACATGTTAATTGAAAACGGAGAATTCCAAGCATAAATAGTTTTAGTGCAAGCCCTTTAAAAAGTGGCATGACTCCAAAGGAATTTCAAGAAAGCCACTGAGACTGGTGTGAGATAAGGTAGATTATTGGACTAAGATTCTTCTACGGAGGGTCTGGGAGGCTTTGACAATGAGTATCGATTATTTTCCCCAGAGTGAGGAGAAGCTACTGGGATGTTAGCCACAGAATACTATGACCTGACTTTTATTGCTTAGAGTCCCATGGTAGTGCTCTGAGGATGGTACTCTAGGAATCTCAATAGGGTTTATAAAAGGTGTTCAGTGATACTGGCAAAAGTTGTTGGTTTGGAATTGGATTTCAGTGTTGGAAGTCATGGAGTAGGCTGGACATAAAATTTAAAGGTGAAAGTAACAGGATTTGTTACATGTCAAGATATTTTCAAGATTTTGGTCTGAGAAATGATGTGAATAGTGAGTGATTCCTTAGTTTCTGGCATGATGTGAACTAGGTGTGTGTGGTGCTATGAAAACATACATTTTAGTTTTAAATGTGATCAGTTTAAGATACACATTAAATTCTGGGTGGACGTCATGTAAGCCTTTGTCCATAGCATTCTACATAGAGAGGAACAGAGTATAAACTTGAATGTTATTCGGGACTATGTTAGATGCACTTCTTTTCCTGGTAGAAATGTAAAGAAATGGCTATTCACCACATGTAGGGCACCAACAGATCAAAAGAAGAATTCCCTCCATGTTCATCTTAGTAAACCAATGAGTTTATTTATTTTGGCCATGGGTGAAAGATTATTTACAAGAAAACTATGGGTGACTCAGAGGCAGCTGTATCACTGAAAAGTGCCACCTCCATGTTTCCCACTAAATTTTCTCCTTCCCACTCTGTTTGAACCGCCATCAGTCTCTTCAGAGTCTCTTGCTCCGGGCACTACTAGACAAACCATTTAACATATTTTTATCTGAATTTTTTATTTGATATCTTGGGTAGGGGGTAAATGGAGTAACTTACAAAGGGGAACACTCAGGGCTTCACAAAAGGCAGACACCTGATGCCCTGTTCCACCCTGTGGTTCAGTGCCCGCAGGCCCAGATTGCTTCTGTGCCCCGCCCACAGTCACTGTTAGTTTTTGCCCAGGCCTTGTGGACACAGAGTCTCACCTCAGGTCATCTAAGATGGCGTCCAAAGCTCCTCCCTCCAGGGCTGACTCTCTGCAATCAGTTCTCTGCAGCAGGCCCTTGGGGACACACCTTGTGAGTGATAACTCCCCAAAGCTGCACCACTGAAGAGTCTCAACATCCCATCGCCTATATTCTCTAGCACCCACCAATATCATGTGTAAGTAGGGGCAAGCAGGAGTAGTGGCTGGAATCCCAGGTGGGGGCCAGGTGACCCCTACTGCTATCCAGGGAATTAACAGCCGTATTACCACAACCATGGGCCTGGCTATCATTAGACTTTTCTCCTGACTTCACTGCCATAACCATTGGCCACAGTATTCTGTAGATCAGCACGGCAATCAGATCTATGTAGGCTGAATGCCATGTCATGACCAGAGGAAACAGTTCTACTTCAGTAAATGTAGATGATATCCAATGTCAGGAGACTTGCTAAGGTTACACAGGATGAGAATGTAGACAGAGCAGAAGCAGTCTGAGGACTATACCCCAGGACTGTACCCAAGGACATGAGACCCTTAGAAGATGAGAAGGATGATTCTTCAACATTACTGTACATGGCATTTTAAGTCAAGGACAGGGAAAAACAAATGTGATGATACTTAAGGCAAAAGATATGGCTGACAACAAGATAGCGGTCTACACTTTCTGAGAATTTATGAAAAAATACCCAAGTATTTCATTAGGAGTTTGAAAAGGCATATTACATATAGGTACAGCAATAATAATATGATCTAACTAATGAGTAATGAAGCTTTTGGAAATGAAGTATGCATCTATGAGTATAGTAGGAGATCATTCATTTAGTTGTTTTTGTTTTTTTTCTTTTTGCCTTTTTGAGAAAGCCCCCAGCTGGCCTTACTATGTAGACTAGTCTGGCCTTGAACTTGGAGATCTGCCTGCCTCTGCCTCCCAAGTGCTGGGATTCAAGGCATGTGCCACCACACCCAGCAAGATCATTTATCTAGACTTAAACAAGAAAAAGGAAGAATTAGCCATCAAATATATTATGTTGAATATTTATCATACTTCTTTATGACAATCCCTCATATAGTCTCATAAAGGAGACTCAGTGTAAAGCAATGAAGGACAGAGGTCTGCCTTAGTGCTAAGGGGAAGTGTTTCTTGCTACTTACTTGGGCACTGAATGTGTATGGCAGGGTTCTCAGTGCTTGCTGATGTCTTGTCTTCTCTCTTCTTTCCACAGGTGGGGAAGTCCCATACACAACGCTGGCAACCCGAATGATGATGGGGGCATGGTGGCTATTTGCTTTGATTGTCATCTCATCTTACACAGCCAACCTTGCAGCCTTCCTCACTATCACCCGCATTGAGAGCTCGATCCAGTAAGTAGACAGATTCCAGTAGCCACCAAGCATGACAAATGATGGGAAGGCCAAGGCCCTCTGTGCATAAGTCTAAAGGATCTGATAGTAAACTGACAGCTTCCTTTTAAGCAAAGGTTTAATTCTAGGATACCTCAGAATATCAATTCTGGAATTTTGATTTCATAAAATAAAATGTGGGTTACAACTTAAATGCCACTTTCCATGTTTTCCTGGAAAGATAATATGTCATTTTAATTACTTTTTTGGTCTTTTTGAGACGGGGACTCCCTGTACCTCCAGCTGGCCTGGAACTTGCTATGTAGACCAGGCTGGCCTTGAACTCTCATAGATCCACCTGCCTCTACCTACCCCTGAGTGTTAGATTAAAGGTAATTTGCCACTACACTCAGTTTATCATCTTAATCTTAACCTCTTTGAAGAATAACTATGTTAGAGAAAAGCTTTGAAAAACAAGGAAAAAAGAATCTTACAAAAAACAAAACAAACAAAAATCCATAGTCTTTGCCATGAGTCTATTCCATTATGTGCTATTACAATAAATGGCAAAATTAACACAGATGAAAGAAGGATCCACATATCACTGAGGGTGGGAGGAGAGAGGAGGCTAGGAGAGAGGAAGGAGAGGATAAGAGTTTACAGACAGAGCCTGGCATCTCAGTGACCCCACTCTGTTTGTCTCTTCATTGTGTGATATGTATGTTCATTATTGCTGCTGTTTCTCCAGCTTTAGTTGGGATGGTGGAAATGGTGGTTAACTGTGATGCACTTACTAATAGAAGTCAATGCTCCAAACCTAAAGAACTTTCCCATGAGCCTTTGCAACCTACAGCCCTTTCTGTTTCCATGGTTTCATGCTATAGGCGCAGCATCACCGAACAATTTCTGTCCTTTAGGACATAGTGCTCTATGCTTGTCTTAAGAGAAACTCATCTCAAATTATCTTGTTTATCCAAAATAAAGTGGTTTAATTTTCTTAAACATTCAGTTTTTCAAAAAAAAAAAACTGGCAATTCAAAAGTAGAATAAATAGAAATGTCAAAGAATTTCTTAGAGCATCAACCATCCTTTAAAAAAAAAACAACATAAAAGTTCTTCTTGGGGCTGGAGAGATAGCTCAGTAGTTAAGAGGACTGACTCTTCTTCCAGAGGACCCAGGTTAAATTCCCAGCATCCACATGACAGCTAACAATCATCTGCAACTCCAGTTCCAGGGGATCCAACGTCCTCTTCTGACCTCCATGGGCACTGCACAACACAGGTGTACTTACATACATGCAGGCAATACACTCATACACATAAAACAAATTTTTTCAAAGTTCTTCTTGTCTTTAAATAAAACATATGTAAGTGAAGTCTATTAGGGGCCATAAAATCGTTATAATTTAATACCAAATCAAGAATTAATTACTTATAAAGAAGTAAGAATTTTTTTCAATCTGCAGTCTTCAGATGAACCCCCCAAAGTCAACTGGTGATGCTAACAGACAGTAAATTACTTTATCCATTTATGAAAATGAGTCTTTTGCATTCTCTCATCAAATCTTGTTCCTCAAAGAATTTTATAATTATTCCTTTGATACAAACTCTTTACACTCTCCCAGTCCATTCCTCTTATCACTGGCTCTATGGGTACTACAAATTATAAGTGATGTAGTGTGAAACTTGGGAAGATTAAGTATTAATGAAAATGATTGTAATAGCCTAGCAAGAAAATCAGTTAAATTAGCAATACCATAAAAATAGTAACTATCATTTACTGATTAGTTATAAGATGCTGGGCTTTATGCTAAATATTTTTCAGGCACTGACTCATTCAATGTTCATAACATCTTCTAATACACACACACTCAAGAATACACTTTACAAATGGCAAACCTGAAGATGAAGATAAAGAACTCACACAATTATGCAGCTAATAAGTATCTGAGTAAAGAGCAGACCTGTGATATGCCCAGCTCCTGAGCCTGAGTTCCCCATACACTGCAGCAGTTCTCATCCCCTACACACAAACCTTTTTATCCCAGACACCCAGGTGTGTGGTAATCTGTCTTCAAAGAACACTATATAGAAGTGTCAGCCTTACAGACAAAACCTTATCCATTACTGAGCCTGGAGCACCAAACTGGTATTCTCCAAACCCTTGATCAGTCTGAAGAAGGAACTGTTACTCAGTTTTGTTGTCATACAACTCAACATGAGTCACTTACATCTATGGTTGCTATATGCCACTCTGAATAAGATATTTTGGCATCTCCAATCAATAGAAAAATAGCATTTGTAGTTCATAGAGATTGAATATATTTAAGACATAAACTGTTACAGTCTAGTATACACATACATCATATAATAACTATCTCCCAAATTAATTGATACATCCATTACTGCATCAAACGCCCCAGGTGTGTTCCTCTTGTAACTGAGTCCATGCCCTTATCCTGGCATCTACTTCTTTCCAGCAATCCACAAGCTCTGTCAACCTCCGTTCCATTCTCATCTTCCAGAGGTTTGGCTTTCTTAGATTCTACTTATTAGTGAAATTGCATAGTAATTGTCTTTCTGTCTTTGGTTCATTTCACTTAGTGTTATGACTTCCAGGTTCATCCACGTGATGGAAGATGGAAAATGGAATAATAACTTTCAAAGTAAAAGGACTGTTCAACCTAGTGCAACACTTTTAAAAATATAGCTGTTATCAATAATGCTTAACGGATATATTTTAAATATACTTAGAGTTAGGAATCTACATAGTTTACTTTTGGCTTTGAAGTAATTTTAAATAAATGAAAGATAAATAAAAACAACTGGTTTCATATTACATACATACCACAGTAATCTCAGCAGTAAACAAATATTATGTCTGACATTTACTGAGAATTTTCTGTGATCCAGATTTTAAATATATTTCATGTTTTATCTCAGTTAGCCTTAAAAATACTGGACATATTATAAGTATTACTATTATTTGCATTTTTCTAAGTGAAGAAACAGAATTTTAGAAGCTAAATGCTCCAGATCACCCACGAAGTTTGGAGTCATGAATCTTATGGATGTTAACTCAATACCGATGTATGGTCTTGCCTGCTGGTTTCTCCTTGTATAGTGGTGGTTCCTATACTTTGCTTGACTTCGTGTTTTTCTGAGGGTGCAGACGTCAAGGTGTGTGTGCACATATGAGCTGTTTAGTTATTACCAACTTTACCAACATCAGTATATATCTTGACTTGTTTATAATAACAGAAGCAACAGAAGCCACTTTCAAAGTTTATTCCCCTAAGTTTCCCTAAAAGTAAAGCTCAGTAGAAAGAAATGTAGTTTCACATGATGCTTCTTCCCTCAAGTGTAGTTCTACAACTCAAAGTCACTGAGCATTCATTTCTTTAAAAATTATTCCATTCTAGTGCCAACAGGCATCATGAAAACTCATTAGTGAGTATGAATCTCTGCTTCCTTTCAATATTATCATCAGACTCATTTGGGAAGGAATCTAAGCCAAGCAAGTTAAAAGAAGTCAGACTGTCTTCCTAAACTTACAGATAGCTTCAAATTTCCTGCCTTACCTGTGTTGGTAAACATAATCACTATAATCCATCCTGGAAACACTTGAAGTTCCATCTGTAGCTAATACCAATGTTTCTTGAAAAAAATGATTTGATTTTTCCAAGAATATAATTTTTCAAAGTCCTGTACAGCACCATACTCTTTAGGCATTGGTATTAATAAGATTTGTACTAAATTAAACTCTGAATGTTAATGCCTCTTTCTGTTCATACCCACGCTGGAAGTGGTAAATGGAACATAGACAATTTTAAAGGTGTTGCCAGAGTAAATATTGGAAAGATCTGGAAATGTAGCTCAGTGGTAGATAAATCACTTGTATAAAATGACCAAGGCCTTGGTTTCAATACCAGTAACATGTATACATGCACATACATGCACACACATGCAAATCAAAAAAAAAAAAATCACTGGGTTCCAACCTCATCATGTTTACTTTTACTTTAATGTAGTTTGCAGAATGCTATTTATTATTGAACATCAGAGTGAATGCAGCTAGGGGAAATTATAGTTGTTCAGCTGTACTCATTAATAACTTTACAGTCAGATTGATCTTTGTGCTTATATTTCATTATTTTTATGCCACGATACTGTAAATAAGCTTGGGTCTACTCAAAGAGATTTCAGCATCCCATCATACTTTTTCATTTCATACATTGATTTTCCATAATATTTGAGGTTTGACTAAACTTCTGTTTTACCGAGTTATTGCTCCATTGATTCAAGTTGAGATAACATTTCTTTCCAAGAACAGACCCAAAATATCCATAAATAGTCTTCACTAGAAAGTATCTTATCATATAAGTAATACCACACCAATAACAGGATTTTTATACCTACATTTGTCTGAATTTGGAAAACATCATTCAGTGATGGTGTAGATGCCATTTTTTGTCATGTGTAGATTTATCCAAACACCACCAGTACCAGGATGTCCCTCACTCAAGCCTTGTCGTCTGCCCTGCCTCTTCTTCCTTCCTCCTGTCCCCAGTGCTTGGAAACCCCAGTTTCCTTGCTGATAGCTTTAGTTTTTCTGACATAACTGCCACCTCCAATGTCATGGCCCATCTTTCAAGGTGCTGTCCTTGGACCATATCACTTGATCATCTAATCCCTTCAAAGAGAAGAAGCTGTATCAGCCAAGCCTTCCCGGAATTTAAGCTTAATGAATTGGTAAACAATTCCCTCCATGGTCTCACTTTATGCTTGACTAACCAGCATTAAAATCAATGTCCTGACAGTGGCTGGCAACAGCCCTATGTCAGGATATTTTTGTTAGACAAGCTTTTTACTCTAACGCATCTCGATTTACACTTGTCATAATCCATAACTCAGATAGCACGTCCTCTATGCAGTCTCCTCCGTATTCATAATTAGAGTCAGTATCTTTCTGTTTTAAACTGCTTACATCTATCTCCATCACACTATGAACTATATCTGGC